ACCCGGCACGTTAGATGAGGCTACTTTTCTATTTCCACAGCACCTTCCGTAATAAAAGTTTCCCCAAATGTCCCTAAATGGATTTATAGGTATAAATAGCTTCAATTGCTGTTAAAATACAGACGCTCCTGGATCAAAAAAAGGAGGCTTTGCTTCCAGCACGCGGCGGTGAAGGGATCTGTGTTCACTCTGGTTTATGGTCATGCCCGGGGGGGCAACCGGTCCCAAGCAAAATTTAGGCGATCGTTTTGGGAAAAAAAGCTTCAGCCTTGCAAGATGTGCCTTGAGTTCCTGAATCTCTGCATGGCAGTGGGGCCTCTTTTCAGGGATTATTTAAATGTTAGTCAGACTAAAAAACTAAATTCTGGAAAAACAGTAAATTTTGCTGAATATTGTTTTCCTCTAGCAGCAAATGGGGGAAGGAAAGGAAAAGGAAAGGAATACAGTACTTTTTTTTTTTTTTTACTTTTTATTTGATGTTCTCCCCTTCATCCTCTCCCCAGACTTCATTAAGTGACTCTGGATTGTAAAGCTGAGCCTTTCCTAAAGCTGGCACCATTTTCGGTATAGAAACAAAAGCTGAATTACTGGGGCTATTGGAAGCCACAGACTAGGTATACTCACAAACCCGCGCAGCCGGTCGATGGGCTGGGAAAGAGCACAGATTTGGCCAGGCTGCAGAATCCATTTTTCTTATAACTGGAGTCCTGGCAAGGTCCACGGACTTTGACATGGAGAGAGGGTCTTCTGTTTGGTGCTGGATGCCTTTGTTTTGTTTAAATCATTACTGGAAGCATCTTTAAAACAAATTCGCTTTTCCGTGCCACTATATGACTGACCAGCGAAACCACAGATGAGACTTTTAATATAGCTGGAAGGCAGCAGAGTGAGGCGAACCGATCCAGGAGTTTGCAGCAATTCTCCATACATCTGAGCAAGAGGGACCTGACAGAAAGTTTTAAAGTTCAAGACATGCATGGAGCAATGGGCCAAAGTGAATCGCTGAGCAAAAGCAGCCTCGCAAATGTTTTTATAATAACTTCCCCTCCTATTACGCCGCAAATGCTGCTATTAAGGGAGTAAAACAGCAGGGCTGACACAGGAACGGTGACTCGGACCCGCAGTGGTACTGAGGATCTGGGCCAGGGTGAAATATTGATTAATCATCTTGTCATGCTGGTGCTTTGTTAGATTCTGTAGATAGGAATTGAGGTGGCAATACACACCTCCTTTGTCTAGTAAGGCTGCCGTATCGCATGGGAATGGGTTGTTGACTTATGGAAAACTACTACGGTGGGGTGAACAGTAGGATGGTGCTGAAACAAGCTGGAGGGTTTTTTTTTTTTAAAAGTATCAAAATTACTTTTTTTTTTTAAAAAACACCAAATATCACTGTAGCAGAAAGCCAGAAGCATCGGTCCTCACTCAGCAAGCTGTTTGCATCTGGACGAGTGCATCTGTGTGGTCACTGTGTGACCCAAACACAAAAATTACGCAGTTTTCTTTGTTTATTTGGGGGATGAGGTGGCTAATCAAATCTGGGTTTGCTTTTCAGCTCTTCCTCTGGGTGAATAACTGCCCTTGAGAAAAGGCAATGAAAATCAAGGTCATGGTAAGGGATCTACAGGGAGTTGAAGGACCCCTTGTGATACAGTTCTGCTCATCGCACCCCGTAAGCAGTGCCGCTGGGTGAGATACTTCGACATGAAAATACAAAGCTCAAGGTTCTCAGTGGGAACATCAGCCTGGGGAGTTGATGCGGCGGTGGCAGCCGCTCCCTGATGGTCAATAGACCTGGTTATGCACAGGTTAAACTAACCTACAGCTCGGCTCAAGGAGTACTTTCCCTGACAGTTATATGACGGGCGTGTGCTACTGTAACCCAGAACATTAAACCCAGGAGAAACTGTTCCGCCCTTTCTCCACCTCCCCAAACCCCTTTCATCTAGGGCAGGTGAGGGCAGAGCTGATAAGAACTGTCATTTGCATCAAATTAAAGGGGAAAACGATCTGGAAAGTTGTTTGCAGATAAAACTCGACTTGATTAATCTATTTGTTCTTTTTAGTTGGCAGAAACCTAACCCCAAGTTTCACGGTGACTTTACCTGCACTGAAGATAATAGCCTACTTATGCAATTATCTGCATGTACTTGACCATCATGCAAACCACTGGCCTGTAGGTCTCAGATGGCCATCAACCTGTGCATGAGGCTCAGGAGCTGTAAGAGCAAACCAAAGGCAGCCCACGCCTGTCCTCGCTGGGTTTGGGTTCATCCCTGCCAACGCCCCTGTTGCTATGTGATGACTATAAAACAAGTCAAACCATAGGTGAGCTGAAGGCAAAAATGCCACACAGAGGGTATTCTGAAATGTAACTTAAGGTTCTGGTGAGCGACGAGAGGAGCACCCCTTGCCTTTGGCCTGGAGACAAGGCCTCCACCTTTGGAGGTACTTTTGGCTTCAGTAGAGCCAGATTTAACCAAACCTGCCACAAACCTGATTCCTTCAATGTGCCTTTCCCACTGGGCACAGTGCTTCATTTAATACACAGTTCAGTACTAACTGCCCTGGGTTACTGGTTCCCAGCGCCGCACACCCTCATTTCTTGCTCATGCCAGCTCATTTGCATCTGGTGATAGCAATCCTTGGTCCCCCTGGACAAAAGACTCAACTGTTGTGCCATGCTCACTCTTTCAAGCCACACAAACCTGAAGGACAGCCTTGTGCCGTAGCTGCAAAGATCAAGCTTGGCCAGGGGAGGCAGGCAGGGACATCCCCACCCATCCCCTTTGGAGCTCAGTCCTTTTCGCTCTGCCGATGGGAAGAGCAGGAAAACGTGCATTGCCTGGGCCAACACTGGCTTTTCCTGGACATCCCCCTCCCACAGCTCTGCAGTTTGTCCAGAAGAAGCAGGGTGTTGGACCTCATTTCAAATTACATGCTCAAATTTTTAATTTTTTTTTTCCTTTGAGAGCCTAAAGGCTCATTTCATGCAGTTGGAGGCCCATTTAGCTGCTCACCTACAGGTTTTTACCATACCAGTCAATGTTTTGCTATGAGCCAGCCAAGCCGCTGCTTCCCAGTGTGGTCCCCATGAGCAGCAGGCGGGTCCATCACCTGCCTGAGCTCAAGGCTCCGCAACAGCATTCAAGTTGACCTTGCACCAGTCCCTCCTGTACAATGAACGAAAGAGTTCTCTCTTCCAAGGTTGTGTTTTGAAGCTTAAAGGACTGACCTAAACCCCTCCAATGGTCTATTCAGAGCCTCTGGATCGGGCCCTAAATTGCATGACCAAGACCAAGCCGCTTCGCAGTGCCCCATCCTTTGGCTACCCTGATCCTAATGACCCCAGGCACAGTCTTTGCTCCCCAGACTGCCGACAAAATTCGCCATTTTTGCCCTGACCCAGACAAACCCAAGACAATAAGGAAAAAGATCCCTTCAGTTTTGTAGTCCTTTATTTTTTTTTTTTTAAGTTGATCCTCCCATAGTAATGTACTGAAATGCATAACAGTTACATTGTACAAAGCATTTAAAGAAAGTACCTCAACTTGCCGATTATTTCAAAATGAGATTATAAACAAAAGGAAAAATAAATCTGGTCCCTCACTAAAGGCCAAAAAAAACCCCCAAAAAATAACTGAATACCTTCCATTATTTATTTAATTTTTTTAAAACATAAATTTGGAACACTTCATCTTACAAATAGGATTAACATGAACATAACATCACACAAGCTCGCAGACAACCAGCATAAAATATTGGGTACAGTTTTTTAATCAGAAGAATCATGCTTTCATGAAGAAATTATAACTGTTTATACAATTGAATCAATTTACTGTATTACAAAAAAAAAAAACCCAAACTAAGTCGCATCTATTAGTTATTTAGTTCATTAAAAGGCAAAAATAAAATAAGAGAGGAATGTAAGAAAATTTCAAACACTGTTTTGCACTCCCATATACACAGATCAGTTCACCTCACTTTTTTTTTTTTGTTTTTGAAGTACATGGGTGCCTTACGTGGTAACGCAGTGGGGGACGGGAGCAGTGCTGTTTGTTACAGGAACAGTGCTATTTTAATCAACAAACAATCTGCCAACAAATAAATACATGGTACACACAACACAAAGAAAAAAATCAGAGGGTAGGGGGGAAAGGAAACAATACAACAAAATAGTGACATGATTGTCAAAAATTAACATCTCCTTATAATGATTTGATCTAGTGGTGCTGTCGATGAACGCGGTGCTTTCACGGAATTATCTGGATGATTTAGCTTCTTGGAGTAGTGAACATTCATAGTTTACAATATACACAAGCCTCTTTTATGTATGGTTTCTCAGAGTTCTTTTTTTTTTTTCTTTCTTTTTTTTTTTCCTTGTTTTTCCTTTTTTTTTTTTAACAATGCAGTTGAGAAGGCAAAAGAATTACGGAGAGAACAAAATATTCCCTGTTACTTCTTTCTACATTTACGAGGGATAGTGTGCATTTGATAGAACTATTTTCTTTCTTTGAAGGGCTAAAATGCATAAAGCTTTAATGGAAGAGATTTGTACATAAAAGCAACTGTTCCCAATCCTGTGTCAAACTATCTTATACAAAAAGAAAATCAATTCAGTTCCTACTTTAAAGGAGTGCCCATGTGTGTATCAATACAGTCTTAACCCTTTTGCCCCTGCCCCTCGAAGCCGGGTGAACTGGAAGACACTTTTTCCCGGCCCTCGTTTACATAATCCACTGAAACTCTTTTTTTTTTTTTTTTTTAAGTCGCATTGATCCTCCAGAAGTCAGCAGCTGCCTTTGCTGTGCAAAACAAAATATTGAGAATAAATAGTTTCTTTCTTTTTAAAATTATTCAGTTTAAGGTCACCGGACTTTAAATGAGTGACCCTGCAGATTTATAAGGCATTCTGCTCAGCAGTCTTTTAAATAGTCATATATGAAAGAGCCATGCTACTGGTTTGGACTTGGTCCCATTCTCGGTAAGACTTCACAATGTCATACGTGACTGATGGATTGAATGGCGCTGGATTCTGCAGCGGCTCTCGCCATACTGTGCCACATGTTGGGAGAATTGTGGGAGGCGGAATGAAGGGAGTCCTTGTCGGAGAGAGAGAGCATCATCGCATACGCCTGGACGGGGGAAAGAAGAAGGACAAGGAGGTCATGCTCCCGCGGCACGGATCTGAGCTTGGACCCGTGCCACCCCTACGCAGTTAGGGCATCACTGAGGCTACAACTGCTATTCTCAACTTACTTAAAAAATATCAAAGCGCGTTAGGTAAAGCCACTGTCAACCTTTTCACTGACACTTTTGACTCGCTAATAGTAATAATCATTTCGGCTTTCATCTGGCTTCACGAAGCTCTAAGAAACCTTTGATAGTAGACAAGGTCCCAGAGTCTCCTTTGCCTTCAGATTCTTGGCACAAGAGGCTCTTTTCAAGAGCCTGAGGAATCACATTATCCCTTGGCTGGTCCTGTATTTCCCCAAATACCACAGTCTCCTTTCCTGACCTTTTCTACAGGCATATTCTGCAATTTGTACAACGGGAATCTTTTGAAGGGGCTAAAACGACCCATTAATATTTAAAAAAAAATAAGAAGAAATAGCACTAAGATGTCAGTCCAGTCATTGCTGGTTTTAAAACACGCTGAGGACCTAGAGGAGGTAATATTCAATAGACTTTAAAAAAAAAAACACCACCAAAAAGCCAAGCCAGCCAGACGACTGGGTCACATCCCTGCAAGGCTGCAGCTGAACTCCACGGCATCCGTGGGACCACGCTGGCTGTATGGAAGTAGAGCGGGACAATTTCTTAGCACGGCCTCTCTGTGGCTGGCAGAAATAGCGGAAGGAACAGAAACAGCAAAAAAGCAAAAAATAACAAAAAAAGCAAAAATAGGAAAAAAATAGCAAATCAGGGACCGGAGCATCACGCCATGTCCCCCCGCCCCGGTGTGGTGGGAGCGCAGCGGGGAGGTCGGGGCGGGCTGAGGTCGGCGGACGCGGAGCACAGCCCTGTCTGACGAAGCTGAAACGCCCTCGCCTGCCACACACTAACGGTTTAATCCTTCGGGTATTTGGCGACAATACCATTTTAAGTGAGTTAAGCTTTTACCTGGGATTTGGATTTCCTGTACAATGGTTGTTTTAGGTCCTCTGGCAGCTGGGAAGTATTGAAAGCTGCCAATTCAGCTTCACTATATTGATTTTCTTCCATTTTCCTCATTTTGAGGCTATCTGTGAAGTGCCTTATGTGGTCCAAAGCCGAAAGTCCAGTCTTATTATACTCCTCCTCCTTATACCTACAAAAACACCACAGAGGTTTTAATGTCAATGAAACCATCCTCTCTGCGTTCCCCCGTCCTCCCAGATCTGCACGGCTGAGTAATTTCCCTCTTTTTTACATTCATAAACCACCTTGCCCTGTGGAACCGTGACCCCGAAATAAAAGAAATTCTCCTTTCTTTCCGAAAGGGTGGGCAGCGGGAGCAGGGGAGGGGGAGGTTGTCTCTCCCCCGGTGTCTCCGCAGCCTTTCACAAGACCATCACGGGAGACCCAGGCTGGTTTACGGAGCAGGTAACGTCTCTCCCACGAACATTTCCTGTCTCACCCAGAACCTGACAATAGCTCCCCGAGCAGAGTTATTTTTCCTCTGAAGGGCTACAGATTGTATGAAGAGACTGAAACCAGGGCTGGTATTGACCCAAACACAGGCGCAGGTTGCTATCGTAACTGGGAAGCTGGCTACTTCAGACCGGTTCCCACGGCCCACAGTTTGGTGCTGGCACTCTTGTATGGTTTATTGTTTTCATTTCACATATTGGGCTCACCAATACTCGGAAGGAACCAACCTGCCAGGGGAAGCTTTGCAGTTCATGTCCAAAGTACTCGTTTCCTCGTAATCCTCCTCCGGAGTCCCCTCGTGCATGTCACTCGTAACAGGCTCTTTGACTGCCTTCCCTGCCATTTCGCTCTCTTCATCTTCTTCGTCCATCATGACTTCATCTTCTGCCTCTTCGTCATCCAGCAAATCCGAGTTCTGGCTGGCTACCATGGCTTTTTCATCCTTAAAGTGGCTGCCATTCATTCTGGAAGTACCAAACCAAACCCAAGCAATAATCACAGATCAGTTATGAAAGTTCCTCACCAGCAGACTCGTGGAGGCAGATCTGAAAAGGATCCGTCCCCATAGAATAAAGTCAGTTCTGTATTTTGTATCTTGTTAGCTTTAGACCTTTAAGCTGTATGGGAGAAAATTCCACTCAAAAATCAGTGGGATGTTACAGTGCCATCAACATGGGATTTTCCTGTTACCCTGGGAGCCTAAAACTACCGTTCAAGCGGAGGTATGTTGAGATATCCATTCCAAATTTTCTCATGCGTTATTTCATCTCACATTTCCGATCATGTATGTAGTCTGGGCAAAACAACTCGTTGACAATTTTAACAGAAGCTGTAGGGGCCAAGAAACTCTGAAAATCAGATCCAGCATTTTCAAAAATGACATCCAATACTGCGTTCAGAATTTTAACGTCAGAATGACATGCATAATTAATTTTGCACACTAACCACCCATTTGGAAGCCATACTACTTCACTGAACGTATGGATTACATACATGGGAACCTAAGGGACGTCAGCTGAAGACCTGAAGAGCGGGCTGACATAC